TGTTACTGTGTTACTGTGTTACTGTGTTACTGTGTTACTGTGTTACTGTGTTACTGTGTTACTGTGTTACTGTGTTACTGTGTTACTGTGTTACTGTGTCTGACATTCCTTATTGGTAGCAACACAATTTGCATTTTTCTTGCCTTCATAGCAAGACGAAAAGGTGAAAAGGGTTTTTATATCTTTATAAAGGCATTAATCCATTGGATTTTCAAAAATAAATACTAGGTAGCCCAGAGACAAATTAAGTAGCAGCCCAATCATGCAGACTACTTGTTATCCATCACTGTTTGCAGTGCTTTACATGTCAGTAGTGATTTCTCATTTTCAGTATAAAGTTTCATGATCAAATGTCAGAAAATGATGCATATATTTTAAAAACATTTTAAAAACACAGTACTGTATATAGTGGTTATGCACTGTATCTTATATAAAACAAGTATCTAATTAAAATATATTGTCAGTAGAGTGAGCAAAACCAGATCTCACATACTCTGTTGTGCTGCTGCATTATCTTTTAATAAAATATCAAAACTCTGGCACAACATGATTTTTTTGTTTGTTTTTTATCTTCCCAGCTTTGCTCCTTCCTAAAATGACCATCTAAAATGTCTGAAGGATTAAGGAAACAGCTTGAATTTCCCAGTTCTCTTATTCAAGCCCAGGTAAAGTGCAGCCTCAATAACAATTGTGTGGTGTGTTTCCTAGACCTCTGTTTAAAGCAGTAATAATGATCTCCTGTTCGACCATTTCTGCAGGCTGTGAGGAGTCTTGTCGCTGCTGTGCTGAAAGAAAAAGGGCTGAATGAGAAGATTGCACAGTCTTCTAATCAGGTTAGTTCTATGGTACTGCTACAGCAATAAAGTCAAAATGCAGAATGGAAATCCTACAAGTCTCATTATTTTTCCATTCTTCATTCTGATTTTGTTGCTGTTTAAATGCTGGGGCCGAATAATGAAGAGACTGCAGTTCCAAAGGCTTCTTTGCAAAGATCGTTTTCTGTTGCACACCTTTACAAACACAAGGAACAGAATGTGTCACAGAAAAGATGTGCAGGTCACCCAGCACTGGGTCACGTTTAATGAATGACTCTATTTTCCTTCTGCCCAGCAACAGAGCATCTGATTATTTGCTTTGCAGAAAACAACCAAATAGAGAGGTGTTAGTGTAATAAAACATGAATCTTTCCTTCTTTTTGAAACACAAATGTTTTGACACGCAGAGCTCCTTAAACACAAAGTAAGGGAGGTTTTCATGGTTCTACATGATGGCCAGAATAGAAACTGTTGTTGTAATTTCATCTTTCCTGCATCTGTTAAATCTTGTGCAAGGATTGTAATGTTCCTTAAACCTAAGTGTAGCACACAGTCATGCATGATTACATGATGAAAGGTATCACTGGCTCTCACTGGTGATTGTTAAGCCTCGCTGGTCTGTGGTCCTGTCCTGCGGTAACTTGTGCTGGTGAGTGTACTACAGTGTGCCGCTGTATTTCAGAGCCCTGCCCTGGAGCTGCTCTGGGAGAAGTGCTGCAGCGACAGTGTGCTGGTGAGGTCAGCCTGCTGTGATGCTCTGGTGCTGCTAGTGGAACAGAACCATGCTGATCTTCAATATGTGCTCAACAGCATCCTCAACCTCATTCCCTCTGCCAGGTAGAGTTGTCCACTGGCATCATTAAATAGCAGCCTGTTGCTAATAGTTTATTCACAGGTTACTGTTGCAAATTATGATTTTTGCTCATTCGGATCACCACCTGTGGATTCTGCTTTGTAATAAACCTGATTTTACTCTCTCATTTTCCTTTTTAGTAATGAATTCAGTACATATTTTCATTGGCTGGAGAACGTGGTCTTTATCTTTTACTGCTGTCTAGTTTGGAGACATTTAAAAGAAGGGCTTCACATATCATGCCCCATCCTGTGGAGGTGGTAAAATCTTGTTTTTTGGGCTGTATAGATACACCTGGAATTAGCCAGTAGTTCTTTATATATCACATGTATTTTGCAGTTTGGAACAAGCTACCCAGCCATGGTCTAAAGCCAATACTTTGGCTTCATTCAGGAAACGGCTGAATGAGATCAATGGATCAATTCGCCACTAGCTTCCCAACGGGCTCGATGGCCCGAATAGCCTCCTCTCATTTGTATCTCTTTTGATGTTTTTAAATGCTGCCTGATTCAGAAGCTAAGCAAGGCTGGGCCTGGATAGTGCTGAAATGGTACTCCGGCAAAGAAAAACAGCTTGCCACTTTGAGTGATATTATTCGACCAGGCTATTCCCTTTTGGACAGAATTTTCAAGCCAATGCTGCAGTATGATAATCGTGAACACTGTGCTGTAGGAGATCAAGTCATGCAGATATGTTAATCTGAGGTCCAGACTACTTGGTTGTCAAAGATCATTAAAGATCTCATGATACTATTTACGACGAGTAAGAGTGTTAATTCTGGTGCCCTGGCTAAATTCCATTGTTGGTTGGCATAATCTGTTATATCGAAAGCCCTCACTGAATTCATCTAATGAAGCAGTTTCTCTTTTCTCTACCTGATCCGCTCTGGAGTGGGGTCCATGATGGATAATAGCTAGGTGGTGCCACACTTCAGTGGATGAAGTACTCCTCCTATATACTGTATAAAGCAGTTCAGGATTATTGAGGATGAAAAGTATTACAGTACATAAATGCAAGGAATTATTATATTCAAAAGCACCCCAATTACGTATGCTCACAGGTGCTTTACTGTATATCAGGGTATTCCCTCAACATATGAATCTTCATATCTGAGTTGCACTTGAGAAAGGATGAGAAGCGATACTCAAGTGAAAGCATTTAAGAAACAAGTGTAGCGATCCTGTTCTGAAACCATTGATATAGAAATTGTATATGTTTGTTGCACTTGACTATAATGACTTAGCAGATGAGCTAAATTATTTGAAGAAGAGAAAATATTGTCTGACACTGCATCCCAGTAAGGACTGCCAATGACCTTTTCTGATTCCATGTGGCATATATTGGTGACTGGAAAGGGGCTACTTTTAAACATGATACAAAAATTGTATAAAGAAGAAACGGGCCCCTTGTAATGTTAGTTGAGGCAATTACATGGGCAGGTTAAGGAGTAGCCTATTGCAGCTTTTAAGTGTGAAGGGCCAAGTAGAACATGAGATCTATAAAATGAGATATCGCAAGAAGAGAGTTAGATTCCTTTAGTTTTGGAATGTGTGCATGCCATTGTCATTAGAACTATTGCCAGGTAAGACGGGTAAAATTAAACCAAAACTATTCCAAATACATAAAACCTTTGACATGTTGGAAGAATATTCTGAAAGTATTTCAGTTTTTGTCTAGATGACCACTGGTTCTGAGATAATTAAGTCCATCTCAGAGGAGATGGTGTTGACCTTAGGGTGAAAAAAGATAAGTAGAAGAAGAAATTTAATTTGCTTCATTAATGTCTCTGAAATTGGTAACCATCAGGTTAATAATTAAAAATCTGTCCCATCAAAATCTCTAATCTGACCTAAATAAACTAAGCTTGAAAGCCCATTTATATTTGTAATGTACAAGCTCAAATAGAGTGCTATAGACTTTTCAAATTAATTCTTGGTCATTTACCAGTGGTCACATGTAATCATAATTGACTTTTATTTGATTTGCAAAAAAATATAGAACAGGTCCCTTTGTCAGAAAAAGTTTGTGATCAACAACAGGACAGAAAACTAGTTGATGACAAAAAATGGAAACCAAAAAATATTTCTTCAGTTTTTCTTCAGAGGCTTCCATATAGGTTTGGAGACTACTATTGCACGTCCAGAGAGCAGAATGTTATTGTAAATTTGTGTTTGATGGATCTTACTTAAATTAATATTTAGTGAATAAATGTGAAAAGGTTATTTCTGGAATTTATTCAGTTATGTCAATTAGGATAATTGTGACTTTGCTCTGTGCAGTGATATAAAGATTTCAGTATGATATTCTTAGACTATGTTAAGCTCATTATTGAATTTATAACTTATGTTGTGTGATGTCTGTTGCTCCTGACTCAGTAGGGGTTTGGCTAAATCTAGATGGCACTGAACAGTATATTTACATGATCCCTTCAGCATTTGTCATGTGCTTATGGTACATTCCCAGCTGGTTCAATCCTCAGTCTCTAAGGCATCCCCCAGCTCTTAAAGCTGCATAGTTCCTAGGCAGACACACACATCTCCTGAGCCAAAATTGGTCAAGTAATGCAGTAACAGGTCCACAGCTCCATAAAATGAATGAGCCATTTTATACACATTCACCAGCACATGCAAGTGAATTCCTGTATTGTGCTTGGTGTTTTGTTAGAGTATTGTCTTTAAAAGGCTTCATTCTTTAATAATGCAGAATTTTAATGCACCAACACCACTGCTGGAAAAATGCAATAAAATAATCAGTCACCTTCCATTCAATATACAGAATCATATTCAATATACATTTTACTCTTCCACATTGTGTAGTTTTTTAAGATACATCTCTCATGCAATAGTGCTGTTCAAAAAGGCATTGAAACATTGTAATGGGATTTTTAAATTCTGAATGTTGTGATGTTGTATTCTCTTTGTGACAGTGGAAATAAAATGTTAAGCTGACCACTTTATTTTTGCTATATAAGTGGATGTGTTCCCTGGTTAAACAGAATCTTAAAATTAAAGATGGGGGGGGGGGGGAACAGACAGATTTAAAGTGTCAAATTCCCTACTGTGGGGCTGCTCTGACAGTTATAGTGGATGAAAGGAGAAGATTAAAGAAAGCTCAACCCACAGCCGTAGATAATTGATTTATAATGTATGAGCAGCAGCAGTAACAACCACTTGTCAGGGAATGTGAGTGCTGTGTCTCAGATCTGGTGGGCGACAGACCAGCTCTGCTTCTCCTTCCTCTGCTGTTCCCTAACCAAAAAGATGCTGCTGTTATTCTCCATTTGCTGAAGCTGCTTTTTGGCACTTCTTTTTTTTTTAAGTTACATTGGTTCTGGTTAGTGAAATGGGATCAGTTTGTCCAATCACATTCTTATATTGTATGTGTATACTAATTACAAACAATAAATTCATGTAGGGATAACTTGAAAAATCAGTACACTATAGATGATTGCCTTTAGACATACAGAATTTGGACAATGAAGTAGTATTTTTACTATGAGCTCTATTCATTTTTCATAAAAAACATGACTAATAATCACAGCTCTAACGTGTTATAGTTAATCGTTAATAGTTTTGGACCTGTTTTTTGAAAGAACAAAGGTTTTGGGATAGTGAGCCTACAGGTGTATGTTTTTAGGTAATTAGACACTCATAAAAGAGCCCTATCAACCTGCCTTTGACTTCAATGTTTAGTGTCCATACTTAAATGTCAAAATGACAACGGTTAACTTTATTAGAGAAAAGCAGGCAATTTTGAAGCTGAAATAAAAGAAAACCTCAATTGTACCCATGGCACAGAGATTGGGCATACCAGAATCAACATTTTGGAAAATACTGAAGAAAAAAGAAACCAGAGGTAACTGTATAGAGCTGTCAAGACTGGGTCAGCCAAGAAAAGACATTTATGGTTGATGAAAGAAAAATTATTATAGCTGTCAAAATAAACCCTAAAAATTGTCAGTGATTCTAGCAACCTCCAGATTGCCGGAGTGAGGATATCTGAATCCACAGTTCTCAGAAGACTGAGACAGCAGAAATACAAAGACTACACCACAATATGTAAATCTATCATCAGCACCAAGAACAGAAAAACAAGATTAAAATTTGATGGGATTTAGTGTACAAAGATGAGAAAGGAAAGATTTTTAACGAGGTTTTATACACAGATGAGCCGAATATAAACCTTTAGCAAAGTGCTGGAAAGGTTACAGTATGGAGAAAAAAAATGAACTGCAGATGCTCAATAGAACATCACCTCATCTGTGAAATTTGGCAGAGGTAACATCATGGCCTGGGCATACATGGCTACCTCTGGAACTGACTAACTCATCTTTATTGATGGTATATCTAATGATGATGACAGCAGAATATTTTGCACTCAAATCACAAGTATGCATAATGCTCAAAGGAATTGAGAAAGCCAACCCAGTGAATTTCTTCAGAATAAACAAACGCAAACAAGGAGCACAGATGAAAACTATGTGGCAGTGCACTTACAGTGGCAACAGGAAAAAAATGTATTTGCATGAGATCTAAGGGTGCTAAACTAGGACACAAATAGATCGTTGGTCAGATTTAGCCACTTTTTACCTTGCATTCATATTTGGCTCTTATGTCTTAACTGTTTATCAATGACTTTCTAATATGATTTGTTCACATTATGGAGACAAATTCCTATACTAAATACTAGCTTTATTCTAGCTCTTCCACCTTCATGGTTTTGATGAGCTTGTGTGCCGCAGTAACCATTTCTGAACCTGCCGTTATTTTTTTTTATTTTTGTGCTTCCTGTGTGATTTTTATTTAACATATAAGCTTGTCTCCCCAATTCACACTTCAAGAGCCATCTACTCCTTTTCATCCTGTGAGTACCACAGTGCGAAGGTCAGAGTTACCATTGGACTAGGGTTGCACTTCAAGCACTTCTGGCATGTGATACTGTATGTCACTGTTGTGCAATGAGGATATCATGGCTGATTGAAGACTGCCCAACACCAGCCATATTTTGGCAAAACGTGGAAAGGGATTGTTAGAATCCCAGAGATGAAGATGACATTCAGAAAAGTTTTTCAATCACGTTTTACAGTAAACAGATTCCTTATGTAAGAAATTCAAATCTCAGGTGTTTTATGGATTAAGAGGTGAACAAACTGTTGATTAGAAGATTTAAATAAGATAGTTCATTCAATCAAAAAGCAGACTGATGATTCTTCAATCAGTGAGCTGTGGATAGGAAAGAATGGCTTTGTTTGTGTGGTGTTTTTGTGCTACGGATGAGACATAATTTGTCTTCATGTTTTACATGTTCTTAGATGTGACTGAAATTACTTTTTGTTCCTTCACTTTCATGGCATTCATTACTACCACACTGCTGTTCTTGAGCTGTCACCTTGCTCATCTTGAGAGGAATGGTGTAGTTTTCCAGACCATAAAATCCAGGTTTGTAATGTCAGAGCTTTAATGCTTTTATATTACAGTTTTCATGGGAACAAGAATCACTGGTTGGGGATCACTTTCAGCTCAGTCATGTGATGTGAAGAACCTCTGCAGAATTCTTGAGAAACTAAAGGTTATTCCTTACCCCAAAGTAGACTTAATTAACTGAAAATAAACATCAGACAGGCCAGCAGCCATTTCACCCTGCAGCTCTCAACTGGCAGCCCACTGAATCTAAGCAGGGCTGAGCCTGGTCAGTACCTGGATGGGAGACCTCCTAGGAAGCTATGGTTGCTGCTGGAAGTGGTGGTAGAGGGACTGGGGGCGTGCCGACCCTGCAGTCTGTGTGGGTCCTAATGCCCCAGTAGAGTGGTGAGGACACTATAATGTAGTGGACACCGTCTTTTGGATGAAACCGTTAAACAGAGGTCCTGACTCTCAGTGGTCATTAAAGATCTCCGGGCATTTCTCGAGAAGAGTAGGGAGGTATCCCAGTGTCCAGGCCAAATTTCCCTCCTCAGCCTATACCGTGGCCTCTAAATTGTCCCCACGTATGATTGGGTTGCACTTGCCCTGCAATGTGTACCCTGCCTTGTGCTCGTTGCTTGTCAGGTAGGCTCCGGCTTCCCATGACACTGTGTGGTATAAAGCGGTTTGGCAAATGACGTGACATGACATGAACATCCAACATAGGTAATTCTCTCTGTCTCTGTAATTAGCTGACTTTTTAATTGACAAAAAGAGGCCTTAGTCTCTTTGTACAGTATCTTTTGTGTTGTTATTAATTACATTATATAAAATATATCTTATGTCACTGAGGTCAGGTGACCATTAAACTGTGCTGCTTTTGGTTTGTAGGGATTAAGTTTTTGCAATACTGTATGTGTCTGTCACTAATTGTGGATCTTGCTCAGATAAGGTTTCTGTATTGATTATCACTCTCCACAACCTCAAGGAAAGTCTTGCTCACATGTGGTTCTGTCTGTGGAAACTTTAAAAGAATGATTATATGTCGAGATAATAACATCACATTTTACTGTTAATTATATTTTACTTTCACATTTGAATGATGGTGTTTGTCATTTTTAATTCCGAAGTCAGTGAGGTATTTTAGCCATTAATGAGTGTAACACAGCCCATGGCAACTTAACTCTCTTATTTCTGTATACATGATTATTTAACTCCCGCTGTTGGGTGTATAGTTATTAAAATTAACTTTTTAAGGACTGTGTTAATAATATTATTTAGACAAAATAATATCACAAGTGATTATTGTTGTCATTACTCATTTGGATGAAGCTTAAACACTGAAACATAAAATGAAATTTTGTGATGCATTGAAATATTTTGTTATAATTACTGTATATTCATTTGCCCTTTGATCTCAGACAATTGTATTCTCTGCAATTAAGTCTTCCAGAAAATCTGACTTTTCTGAATCAGTTTCACTTTTATATGTTGTGATCTGAATAAAATATACACAACATGAAATAGTTTCAATCAACAAATTAGGACTTTCAAACCGTTTTTCACCATTATAATGAGTATTCGATGGTTTAGGAAAATGGTACAAACATCATTAAACCATACAACCATTCTTTGATTTGAAACTTTTGTGTACTAATAACTTGGCTTACATTATACACACTAGACTTTACTCATTTTTAAAAACATGCTTTTTTATTCCTAAGGTTAATGAGCTCCCTCTGGCCCATGAATAGTATGAAACTTGCTAAACATGAGTTTAGTTGAACAATCGTTATGTTTTTCATCTAATTTATAAAAAAATATTTTATATGGTTTTAAAAAAGGATTGTTTTTTATGAGCTGTCTGTAATTTAAAAAAATAGTCTGTTAGAATCTTGTTTTCTCAAATGAGTATTCACCTAATTTGATTTCATATATCAAAGAAACATTCATTTATATGTAAAATATGAAAAAGGAATCCTAATAATACATTAGAATTCACAGACAGTTGAAGGCTGTATCCTCAGAATCAGGTTTTGGATTTTGATAAAGCTACACCAGACATTATTGAAGAGAGATTGTAATTGATATGAATGGTGACCTACTTTTGTTTGCGATGCTGACAACTGGCATGTGAAATTCATATCCTTTTAAATGATTTCATATACTGCATGACTTGAGCTAACCCCTCTAGAGCTACAGTATAGAAATGTGTAATACTGAAAGATATGAGTGATGAAAATTTCTGAATCTGAAAGGGAAACAATAGAAATTATTCATGTTTGTCTTTATGAACAGAATTTTAATATTGATGAAAACTGCAGTATTATTCTTCAGAAACAATGAAAGGTTTATTATTTACTATAGCACTCTGAAAATACAGAAGTATTTGTATTAGATGTGTAATTACTTAATTGGTATCAAGATGTGTACTATTTTCTAGAGACTATTATTAGATGTCATAACATAGCATTATCCATTGTCTACTGTACATCTCCTACAGAATTATGTTTTGCGACTTATATTGTAAGTCAAATGTGCAAAGTGACAGTGTTTTCCATATACTGTATATTAGTGTTTTTTGATTGATTTCTGATAGTGATCAAATGTACACTGTTGAAGACGGCAAATAAACCTGCGTGAATCCTGGTTTGTGTTGCAGTTACTTCAATAAAATCAAATACATTTTAAAAAAGAAAATATGGAAATAAATCAGCAAGACTTTAAGTACACTTATTCAGTTTCAGAAACTAAGCAAAGGAAATAAGGTTTCCATTAAAATGTGGTACAAAGGCATAACAATTTAAACATCTGATTCAGCACAGGACCAGATTATCATTTTCTCACCATGAACTTGCGTGAATCTTCTGATTCAATTAACCATTTCATTTTTGCAGCAATGTGCAAGGTCTGATAAAGGTGATTGGGAAGTTGCTGCAGATCCAGTCCTTGCAACACCTACAAGATGGAAAAGCAGTCGGCTGTCCTTATACTATAAGGTGAGTTGACTTTTTCAAGTCATTATGGTATGAGGAGCAAGTGTGATTTTAACGTTTTGAGTGCTAAATTAAAGCCTATGATCTCCACATGGAGTGTTTTATTAAATGGTTTCAGTAAATAGACCTTTGAAAAGTGCACCATGGCAGTAATGTGGCAACTGAGACTAAAAGATGAATCTTCTTTTCCAAGAGTACAATATATATATATACACATTTCAAAATATTTACTGTATGTGGACTGTTCACTTTCAGACGCCTTGATGCAGTTGTTTCAGGGCATGTCACTGAAGAACAAAGCACAAGGTGTATTAACCTTTTTGCTGAAGTCCAGGCCCAAAAATTCTATTTCACTTGGACCTTGCTGTTGATTTCCATTCAGAGGTGAGAGAGTCACCTTGTTAGTATTGATAAACAGGGTTCATTTGACTAATTCAGTAATATAAGCCACAATCGATTGGCTAGTATCTAATTGATTTAACTTTACAGGAAAAGGTTTAACGGTTGGTTGTACTTAGAAGCGGGGTGCTGTATGCATGCTGAACTGAAGGATTCTTTGTTTATAGCTGTTGCAGACAGGCTTGGTAGCTGTCTGCAAAGTACCCTCTGCCTGTTAATTGTTTGAAATGCTTAAATAACTGCTATCTCTTATGAGAGTCATGCGGTAAATCAAATTGAACGTCTCTTAGGTTAAGAGATTTTTCCAAAGGTTAAGGTGAACCAAAGGTTAAGCACCGCTTTCAAGCGGTCTCTTAGCTCATGATCGTAATGCAGAGTGTCAAGGCGGCGATGGTGCCATTACACCAAGGGAGCTGACCTGCGTGGGATTGCGGTCAAGCAGTCAAGCATGCTGTATCTTAGAAGCGCAAACGTATTCATTTTTCAAACTTCAGTGTAAATCTCCCAGGACTTTGATGTTGGCCTCTTTGCATTGGCATCTTAAATCAGCTACAGTAAGACAATAAATATTAGAACAAATATTTTTTTCCCTTTGGAGAAGAATAGCAGGAAAGATCTTTTGCTCCAAACAGCAGGGGGCTATGTTGGGTCTATTAGTTGTGGTACAGCTTAGCTTTAATTATACAATAAACACGATAAATTGTGACATTCAGAATATTTAGCATTTGTTGAGCACTGTTGAAGCTCAATAATAGAAATAGATGCCAGAATGTGACATCAGAAATCCTTTAAATCATTTTTAGAAATATGCATTAAGCACATTAATAAGTGCATTAAGACATGTGACTAAACTATATTTTTTAAAAGAAAATATTAAAAGCATGAAAAACATCAAATGGAATCCCTAATGTTTTTATTACATCATTGATGGTTTTGTAAGTACAGACAAAAGCTGCACTTATGAGAAAATATAGCTGATTCATAATGTGAGGATTCTTTGCTACATGTGTATGTGTTAGTCTTTGCAAATAGTGTTGGTTGCTGGATTTTATTTGAGGCTTGGGGGCTGTCTGGTAGCACCCTGTGTTGTGGAGGCTATGTTTCAGTGCCAAAAAAAGATAACAAGTTTGACTGCTTTCTCATCTGCTTCCTGGGGATCATATGAGCTGGACAGTTTTTACCATAGATCTCAAGGTAGCTGTAAGATGAAATTACCCTTTCATGTCTGTGTCATCCCAGCTTAATTCAATTTTGTGTGAAATATGTTTATATGGTTTCCGTATGAATTTTTCTATAAATTGCAAGACCAGTTTGTTTTTTACAAAAGGTTACTTATTCTTGCCTGGAGCTATTTTTCTTCATATAGAGTTTCAAATGTGTCTTTTTTTCTTCTCCAGAGCAAAATGTCTTTGCTAGGTTGAAATGTAGAAGTGTATCCACCTACCTTTAGAATTAAGTATGAAACTCCAAGGGCACACTAACTGGAGGACTAGATTTATAATGTTACAGCCACCCAGGAGAAATTTGCATAATTCATGTCCTTTTCTGTTGGTGTGAGAGTCCTACTTAATTGACTATGATTAAATTAGTTTTACACATTTTCTTTTAAGGGCAGGAAACAGGATTTTAAACTTTAGGTCGCCCTAAGCTATGAGTTTTAAATATGTACTCCTTGTTCTTGTATGCACAGAACTTTGCATTAATTACCTTTTAATCATCCATCCATCCATCCATCTCCTAACTACTTCATCTAATTCAGGGTCGCAGGGGAGCTGGGGCCTATCCCGGCAAACAATGGGCACAAGGTGGAATACAGTCTGGACCGTAGGCCAGTCCACCTCAGGGCACACACAGACACAGACAGAGACATGTACACACTCACACGAGGCCAGTTTCCCCAGAAACCAATTAACCGTCCAGCATGTCTTGGGACTGTGAAGAAACCAGAGCATCTGGAGAGAACCCACGTAAACGTGAGAAAAACATACTAAAATCACGTAGATGGCACCCTAGGTATGGAATTAAATCCAGGATCCCAGTGGTGCGAGGCAGCACTACTAACCACGAAGCCGCCGCGCCTCCCCCCTTTTAATCGTATTCAGTGGTGTCATACTTTTTACGTTGTGTATACAGTATCACTGTTTCTTGTGTGCTTGCTTATTTGTTACTTTTTTAACACATAATCTTACCATTCCTATCATAACTTCTAAAAAAAATTAATAAGAGGAAAGTAGTTTTCAGTAGTTTTTCTTCTCATCCACTATTAATAATACAGTTAACGTAGGATGAAGTATGATCACTGATCTGTAAAACACAGGAAGTGCAAAAGGCCTTTAAGAATGTGCTATGTGGTATAAATACCTTGCATTGTCCATTTATCCATGACCAGATAGTCACTTATTTGTGGTTAAATTGACATGTAAAAGGTCTTATTCTTTTACTTGTGTGAGCATATTTGCATTTGTCCTGTTAAGTGTTTTTCTACCTGTGAGGATGGACTCTTGCAGGGAAAACATTTTAAAAGATGTTGAGAATCTCCAGTACCTTTTGTTCTTAAAGTATGAATCAATTGGAAGAGTCATTATAAAAAGCTCAGAGACAGGAACCTGTTTCATTCCAGACTTACACCTCATTTCAATGCTGACATTTCCTGAACTTGCATTTGAACTGGTAAGGACCAAGGCCAACCTGTCAGGTACCTTTCTCATTTTGTTTTATTCTTAAGGCAGTTAATAGTGTGTGTGTCTGCTGGCTGGGCGTGATTGATGGCCTGCATTGATATGTGGGCTGGATTTAAGCACTTTACAGTGGCACGTTTGCTGTGGGAAACTCAAGAAGAGAGATGGTCAATGAGATTGTGGGAGTGCGCTTTGTTCCCCTGACTGACAGCTTGTAGGTGAATGAGGCCATTAGTCCTTTATACCTTGGACTTCTGACTTGTGTTCACAAAGATGAGCTTGAAGATTGATATTATGCAATGGTTACTTTAAGAAGCTCAATTTGTTTTCCCTTCTCTAGCAAGTTCTGCTTATGCTTTTGTAAGTTTTTAAATATTTTTATTTAGCAAATTGTTTTCTGTTGTGGAGCAGATAATTTAGTTAAGACTAATATATGAGCCATGAAAACCACTGACTGAAGAATTCACATGCAAACTGCAATTATTATGTGTTCCACCATCACAGGCCATTATCATGTTTTCCACCATGGGATTACCCTGACTTGAATTAAAGTAATATTGAGAGGAAACTGTAAGTCAGCGTGTTTTTGTTGCACCTTGTTTATTTAAACTGTGAGTAGAACTTAGTAATGCCCCCATTCTATTCTCATAACAGAGGGTATCCAGTCTTGGGCTGTACTCTAGTGAATAGGAGGAGGAAATGGCAACAGGTGTTGGCAACAGATTTTGTCTGTACTGCTTTACTCATTTATTATTACTATATGAAGATTAAAATAATCATCATTATTTGTTTGGCCCTTACACACATCTTGAAACAATTAATCTATTTTTTTTCCAAACAGACAGATGTGGTTTCCTTAAATTTCATGGAACCTGGATTTAGAAATTTATGAAACAAAGTGTAAAGAATGGGAGTTCAGTAAATGCCCTATTTAAGAAACCTGACTAAATCCTGACTGATTGGTGCAACAGTCATTAGCCGGTCTAGCAAAGTAAATACCATTTTGCTCACTTATTCCTGTATCATGTGCAGTGGTGTTTTATTGGATTGAAGATCATGTTTATATATGCATTTATTTCTTTCATTTAATTTTAGTTTACTGTATTAAATTACATCCATTATTAAAAAAAAGATCTGGTACTGATTATTTCTCATTCCGATTCCTGTTAATACTTTTAAGTGTATCTGTTTAGCAAAATTCTACCTGCTTAATCTTTAAGCCTAAATCACAGTGTGAGACGTTATGATGCACAATCTTTATTTTTTGTTCTAAGGGATCACAAAAACATCACTTCCTTAAAAATAAAAGAAAAGCCTTCAAAGCTACCTGATTTGTATTATATTCATTACTTCACAATTGGTTAAAGAAGTTCCAGTAGGTAACTGCATGCATAGGCTGCAAAGGAACAAGAAAAGAGATATAGGAGCCTTATTGTACAGTCAAAATGTTGTCTCTTTTCTTTTTTTTTCAGCATGGTACAAACCTTTACCTGTTACTTCACAATTGGTATTTTTCTGTTTACAGATTATAAGTGTGCATTCAAAGCTTGTAACTTTTGTTTATTATACATCAAGTACACTTCTTAGAAAATAACTGCAAATAACATAAAATGATAATACTGTGTGATCTGATTATCTGTGCAATCTGTAAAGTTAGTTTAATTAACACCTTTTCCTTTCATTTTACAACAGGACCTTTTTCTTTGTCCTTTTTAAAATATTTAATAGAAAACATTAATACTGCACATTAATGTTGTTTTCCTCATATACTTTCTGGTACACCAGCAGCAATAATTTTTATTCAGCAGCTTATCCTTCAAAAGGTAAAGAGTTGACTTTCACTCCTTTGATCAGTGGGGGAGAACATGCTTAAGTTGCAATTTTTCAGTTTCAAAATATGGTTTCAAACGGGGTGTAGAATCTGATCTTTAGGATTTCCTTGGCTGACTCTTCCAAAACACCTTTGTTATCTCTAGTTGGATATCTTTTTTACCATACTGAGTAGTCAGAGATCTGAGTTTCTGTCTGAGATAGTTTTCACTGGCTTCATGTGGTTTCCGAAGCTGGTGGAGTGTAAGGTAAGATTCCTATGGTTTTGAAGATGGAGCCCTGTTTGTCTGTGTATGATTTATTTGACAATCCGATTATCTATGGTTGTAAATTTGAATTTTGTGCAGAAACCCTCCACATCCATATGTTACCATCTTGGAAAACCGACCAGACTGCTGGCCAGTCCTTTTGAGGGAGATTGGCGACTACATACAGCAGTGCATTAAAAAGTAAGTGATCTACACTGTTGTGTAACAACAGGTGTGTGAAATCATTAAACATCACAAACATTCAGATGCTTTTTACAGTGTTATTCAGCCACTTTTCAGACTTTTTTACTAAATCATTAGATCGTTGTTTTTTGGCTAATTTGATGAAAAGGTAATTTGATTTGTATTTGTACCATTAGCTGAACCTTATATAACTGTGATAATACTGTGTAATTCAAAGTTAAGGCTAAGGTTCAATTTGTTTGATTTACATACACATTAATGCTGTGTTAGGAATATGATTAGTGATCCCCAAGCAACCTGAGCAAGCTTGAGCGAATGTGCAAAGAGTAATGGGCAAAACATCCACCAGCCTTGTGTGGCTGTAATAGCTGCCAACTGTTCTGTCAACAAATATTATTTTCAGGGGTCTGAATATTTATGCAATCAACGCATTTGTTTTCTGTTTTAGATCTTGTTGAAATTTAATGTAGCTACTGTTGGTCTTAAAAGAATTTAATTTGAGTGTTCAGGTACTGAATATTAATTTAAAAATGACACAAAGTACTCTAAATTGACTACCTGTGTTATTTTGTACGTTATGAACCATGTCTATTACCTGTGAATTGCATGTTAGTCGGACTTTGTACAGCAATTTGCAGAAAGGCACACTTTCTTCTAATTTAAGCAAATTGTGATTGAGGTGGTGTTGCACTATTTACGTGGCGGAGCCGAAAGTTGCATTATGTTTACCACATTTGAAAAATGTAACCACGTGGCAAATCTTAATAACATTAACTTCTTTTCAGAAGTTAAATATTTTTTCTTCTTTTCATGCATTCAGCTGTTTGTAGTTAATTAAACAGCAGTAGTGTGATCATTCAGTTCAGTATATAAAAGTGTTACACATTATGCTATATATTGCACAGTTGTAGCACTCTTACTATATTTTATTTGGTCAGCTTCACTTAATTTTTGTCTATTATACTTCTACCATACAGAACAAAATCATTTTAGATATTACAATCCTTATACAGTACATGCAAAAAAAACTGAGGTAAAGTGAAGTTGTTGTTGTGCAGATGAAGTTTGTCAGAGAATTCTCACATCTGACAAGATGAAAATAATGATGCCTTCTTCTTGCTGTAGAATGGAGCCTGCCTATGTGGCCATGCTGACTCCATTCCTCAGGTATGTGTACTGTGAGCCCCTGCACTTACCTGAGCATGCCGAATTCAGACAGAACCTCCTCAGAGTGCTGGTGCCACACTGCCAAGAAAAAGGCGAAGAGAGTGAGCCTTCCTCGGTGGCGCAGTGTGTGATTCGCTCGCTCTTCGATCTGATCCCACATCTCCAGGTAAGCTTTAGGGAACGTTGCTGTCTTTCAATTTGAGGTGAAATGCAGGTTTTGGATACTTAAGGATGTCCATCTCCTTTTAACTATTAACTAACAGATGTAAGATGAGAAGCATGACAATGAAGTCGCATTGAATGACGGCTCCAGTCAGTTCACGCTCAAACAAGAGCCTCACTCACCTGATTCCATTATATCAGTGTAAGAGTCAAACACATGTTTAGGAAGGACTAGCACACATTTCATTACCTGACTAGTTTGTAGATATCACACACTCTTGTAAATAGGACATTGTAAGCTTGTAAGCGATTCTGGCCTTGTGTTATTGGTGTTAGTGTTCTGTGCCTTCTCTCTCTTCTCCCATGTTGCAGTGTCTCTACCAGTAACATCTAACTGTATGTCTTGTCTAGTGATGGCATTTTTTAATTGAAAAGGAAGTTGGAATTGAACGAAGGATGAGAGTTATGTCACTAAGTAGCAACTTGAGGGTGTGATTTGTGAATTATCATGAAATGTACAGTAATTGTGTTTTTTCTGGGGTGGATTTGGAGGTTTGTTTTTTCATTCCTGTGTGCAGAATTTAAAGCCTTACATTTTTTTGGCCACTGTACTCCAGAGTTCAGTTTTTCCTTTGTTACTGGATCAGTTGCCATTGACAATAAGCAAATGGTTGAAATTACAGAGTGACCCAAAGATGACCTGTTTGTAATGTTGGTGAACAGAGAGGAACACAGGGCATCTGTCTGTCTTCATCTGTATCTCTAGAGATCTTGGGTTTGTGTTTCTAAAAGTAAACTGTGGGTTACTAGGAGTGTTAAAAAAAACGAATCTGGTTAGGAGTTAGGATTTCTGTTTTTTTGCTAAAATAATAAATACATAGTATTTTTTAAATAAATATGAATTATAGTAGTAATAAATAATAATAGTAATAAGTAGTATTTACTAATGAAGAATGAATCTAAGTATAACAAGCACTAAAAATATAGTTCATACAGGCTTTCCCTACTTGAAGACGAGCGACGTTACAGTCTTTTACAAAATAATCATATAATAGTTATTGTAGTTTAGAAATGAAAAAAAATAACACTATCATCTTGTATTATAATGGTAGAAGCACAAAAGTTATAAGCATCCTATCGCAAATGTGTCAATTCATAATGTCCTCTAATCTTCAAGCATTTACAGGAGGAAAAAAAATAAAAAATGAGTGATACACAAAAGACAATTAATTAAAAGGTTAATTAGTTTACCTAGTCAATAACAATGTGTTTTGTTTCTTTAGGTTGTCACTGTAACTCAAGTGGTGGAGCTGGGGCTGTTTGTGAAAGAGCTCTCCTCAAATTTGCTGAAACATGCCAAGTTTTGGAAAACAGAGCTGTGCCAGCTGTCACTCCAGCTGCTGTGTGCCTGTGAGCTCAACTTGAGGATCACTGGCGAATTCTCAGCTTTGATTGACCTCATTGAGAATCATCTTGAGGTCTGCTCTGAGGTGAGGAGTGACACGCGTGCTGGGCGATATGGGAGTTCTTAAAACAGCCTTTACTTGCATGGTTGGCCAGACATTCAGTTTGTGAAGTGGGTTTAGTCTTGCTGAAGTGTTGTGGTGATGTGTTTTGATATGGCAGAATAAATCAAGCCCAGTAAGAACTTCCATTTCATGACAAGAGCAGTCAGGAAAAGCTACCTTAGAGATTTCTCACTGTTTGATACATGTTTGCATTGCAAGAGTAGTTGGAAAAATTTACAGGAAATATCAAAAGGGAAATATTATGGTAAGCTTTGGGTCATCGGTTTAGTGAGTCATGCAGCTGGGAGATTTGAGATGTTTTCTGCACTGATGTGGCTGGGGACACACAAATCATCCAGTTTGCAATTGGTTGGCACTGCTATAATGAGATTTACTTGGCAGTGACTAATGTCAGTTCCACATGTGGTAAATCCACTAAAATTTGATTAATTCTGTGACCTTTCAGCTGTAACTAAATGGAAGGGATCAGAGCTTTGTTCACTATGTGTGAACTTGATTTGTTTTGATTTGATTTGTTTTTAAGAATCACTGGTCATTATATTGATTGTCCAGAAAGAGCTACACTGGCTACTACACTGTCAAGAGCTGGGTGGGGAACATAGGCTAATACTTCTTTAGTTCCCCTTTAATAACTAGCTCTGCACAGGTATTACTATATGTAAGACAGGGGAGAGAGATATTTTCCCCTTGGGTGCAGTATCATGACCACATTTGCTGACATTTTTGAATAAGAGGAAATAGGATCTTTCAGTGTTAAACTAACAGAAATTTCAATAGCAGTGTTGTTTTTTTGGAGAAAAATGTGAAATTGAGAGCTCTTTGACTTTCACTTTCTTTCCATGGGTTTTCATTTCATGGATTTATTTTATATGTTAGCAGTATTATAATTCTGTACAGTGTGTTATATATACTGTATATATACAGGTATATATTTATTTTCTTGCATGCTATGTTCTTTTGCTTCCCTGTCTTTTATCAGTAGTTCTACAAATTAAACATATTTTTTAATATCTTTTCGGTTTAACGGTTTGTGCTTCCAGCTTGAATTGTCGCATTTGCACAGTAGTTTCTAAGTAGAATCCAGTTCACTCTCTATGTGACAGCCAGTGTGAAGCTTATCGTATGGTTTGCCTCAGGCTAAAGAAAGTCTTAATACTGACAATTCTAATAATGTAATATAAACTACCAAGGCCAATTTAGAATATATTTTCATGTTTACCTGGGAAATTTAATAAGGTGGATGAAAGGAACCCACATTGCTTTTAGAACATAATATAGCAGTATGTCATTGTAAAATATTGGTGGAAGTAAGGATAATTTGCTCTCAAGCAAACCACTGACAGCTTTATAGACACAGGTGTGTGTCCCCAATTTTCTTGTACGCTGTATCATTGTGATTATTTTTAAGGTCAGTCTGGTTGTGGTGAGATCAGTGTCACTCTGTGTGAGGTTATTAATTATTCGTTTTACGTTTCTTTTTCTTTCTCTACAGATCGGTTTTTTATGTTATTTTAAGGTGTTGCTAATTCAGAATCATCAATTCAGAAAAGTTCAAAGTTTCCATCTAAATAAAGCTTCAGTACATTTCCAAAATAGTTGGTGGAGAATATAGTACTGGTTTGTCTACATAAAGCTTAACTGCTCAACTTGTAAGACCACACAATAACCTTAGGATTGTGCATGGGGAAACATTCATTTCTTTTTTTCCAGGCCTGGCATAATCTATGAACATAAGAAAAAATCCAAATGAGATGAGGCCATTCAGCTCCTCTAGGTTTTTTTTTTAACTGTTAGCATTTAATTGATCTGAAGCATTTCATTATTAAGATTATACAGTACATAATTATATTACCTGTATTTTTTACTCCTGGTTTCAACTCAGCCAAATCTACCATTAAGGTTCTACATAGTTCGACAGCCCAAATACATTAGTTCAGCACGGTGGTGCTATATTACTGTACATGTTTTGTAAATTGTCTCAAGATACAGAAAAATACCTCATATCTGATAACCATGCATCCAGAAACGTCAGGCAATGGGAAAAACATTTAAAAAATCCTTGTGATAGCGTAAGTGAATCCCAAATGCACCACAGTGTTTTACTTACCTCCCACCCAGAAGTCTGAGCGCATTTAAGTATAAATGTGCAAATACTTTTATGTTAGGTGTTGAAACTAAAATTGAATTTATACTTACGTGCTCTGGATTAGGGGATGCCCAGAGGATTGTGAGTAACATTTTTTTGTTTTACCATATTTACATTATTATACTACATCACTTTTAATTTGATTTTTTTTATCATTGTGGTGTTGTCCTAATAATTTTACTTTTGGCTAGGTATCACTGTATTATTGCATCTCACCTATCTGAAAAACTCCTTGCTCCTTCTCATGCATTGCTTCTTCTGTTTCAATGTGATTATAGTTTAAATCATTATTAAAATTATTCACTTACATCATTTGTAATTCTAAGTGCAACATTGTTGGAAGAGATGAATAATTTTGTATATATACAAATTATTTATATCTTGCTAATAGCATGCTGCTGTAGCACTTTGATATCAATCACTGATGGATAAAGAACCATTTATTTTTAGGAACAAGTAATAGGTTTACTCCATGCTGAAAAGAGAAGAAAGAAAACGCAATGTTTCGGCTACACCTGAAGAAGGCTCCACGGCCGAAACATTCTGTTCTCTTTCTTCTCTTTTCAGCATGGAATAAACCTATTACTTGTCCCTTTGCAGCCTACGCATGCTGACACAGCTACCCACCTGATTTATATTTAGGTTGTGTAAAAACATTTTACTACCCTTTACTACCCACTATGAGACACTATCTACAGCGTATTGTATCAATTCTTACAATTAAATAAATGTCAGATTTTCATTGGAGAGAGTTTTATTGAAATATAACTGCCTTAGCAATTGTCTATGTTGTCCAGAAAGCATTATATTCTATGTAGGAATTTTTGTTTTTATTGCAGGACTTCCCATCAGAGCAGATGATAACTGGACTAGCGTTGCTCCTGCTGAAGGCTCCTGCAACACAACAGATAAAGATTCTTAACCTTGGTATGAGAAAGCCTTTTAACACCTTAGAGCATATAACTGAAGTTTAAAAAAACTTTAGTAGCTGTGAGATGTTTTTATTTTGGCACTGCTTTTTTCTACTGAAACGTCCGTAATTCATTGACTATATCAACAAAAGATTACTTTTCCTATGCAGCTTTCAAGATCATCACCTCTTCTGAGATGCCGGTGTTACCTGCAGCTGCCCCTATACTGGTCCTTCCCTTACTGCAGATTCTGTCTTGTACTGCACTCATGGAAGCTTTATCAGACAGCCAGATCAGGGAAACTAATCAGCACCTGGCTTCAACTCTCCTGCAGACTGTGCAAGGTCACACCTTCAGTCAAAAAGAGGTATTGAAGCTGCATTTTGCCGGTGATGTTCCAAACTTGCACCGTAATACACATAATAATGCTTCTTTTTCAAGTGTAAACACTGAGATCAAAGAAAACAGATTGCTTAAGAACAAAATCACCCTTGGCTGGATTGTGGATTAAATGTGGTAAAAAGGAATTAACATTTAAAACCTTGAGGGTTTACATGTGAGACTCTCAATTCTAATGCAAAAAGCATTTTGGAGCTTGTCCATACAGCACTAGAGCATGTTAGTTATAAAGTACTTTGGAATTTATCAGTGAACAAACTAACTGGGTGATGAGAAATTCCAAGTATAAATTATAAAGAGTTTCTGAATTTTTTTGCGTTTGTTTTATTAAGTCATTTAGCTAGTGAATTTGCTAATCTGAGGTTGGTGAGGCTGTAAAGGGAGCAGATTGTTAGAGGACATCATTTGTAAAGCAGTGAGGTTCTTAAACAAACACAGTGCATGCATGTTCAGATGTTGTTATTAGTGCGATCTGCATTAATGTTGTGTACTTAATAACTCCAGTTATTACAATGAAAAATATATGAAGTAAATGATACATTCCATCTTGTCCTTGCCTTTTTTCTTTATAAATAATCTAATTTCAGACTGATTAATGTTTACAATTTACGAGTTTTTCAAATGAAACATAACTTATGACTTCAAATAAACTATCTTGCATGCTCTTGATATATTTTAAGTCTGGCCTGTGTCTTATTTATTATTAAAATACTCTTGTAGTGATTCAGGTGTACCATATTCTAACTGAGATTGATTGTAACTCAAGTGCTGCCTTACTCTGTGGTCACGATATCCTGGAATAGCTGTATAATACCATTGTTTTAAAAGAAAATGTGCCACATTTGAATGACCCCACCCCATAATTGAACTTAATCTCATTTTAACATCTGGGATTGCTTAGTAGATTGTGTAAATTTGATTTCATTATACATATTAAGATGATTTTTGTTTTCTTTCTTGTTGCCATTAGGACACCATCAAACTTCCTTTCCCAATATGCAGCTGGTACAGCACGCTGCTGATAACGACAGACGCACTGCACAGACTGAATGAAGACCAGTCTGCTGCCTGCAAATGGCTGTTTTCTGTTCATTCGGCTCTGCCATTGAATGAGAGCATTCCTGAGCATGTTCCACTCCTTTTGTCCTACCTTATTGTCAGAGAAGAGGGAGAGGGCTTGGAAGTGGCCCTGAGAACTGTCGCGGAACTGGCCAAAGCAGATCCCTCACAGGTAAGAGCTTTTCAGTTTTGCTTGGAGAAGTTTCCTGTTGCAAAATGAGTGATGGCGTGCAAGGGTAAGGCAAACTAAAGTTCAGGATCAGAAGACAGGAGAACTGGATGGAAAACCTCACAGTGAATATTGTATGTTTCTAATGGATAATTTCTGTTATGTAGTTCAAACCATATTTACATTACTCCTATTCACTCAAATGTCTTTACACTTATATAAGGACTCTAGGCATGTTTTTGGAGATCAGAAAGGATAATCACCTCTTCCCTTTCTATCAGTCTTAATGTAGTTCATTTACTGAGTCCCTTTGACTCTTTCTGTTGTAAGAGTCAAATCTGGCATCTTCTGTCCAAATTAGGTTTACAGCAGAAGAAAAAAGACATGGAGACAAGTTGGAGAATTTATTTTGGACTTATTTTATAAAACAAGTTATAATATATTAAATGTTAATTTATATTGAATGTTTTGGGTTGGACAGAACATTTCAGGAAGCAAAAATAACAATTTCAGGGCATTGTTAACATAAAGTATTTAAAAAAAAATGCTTTGAATTAAACACCAAACCATATACATAACAAGAAAACTGCACTTTTTCCTCCCCTTGGTGAATTTTTTTAGTAGTCAGGATTGCTTCAATAAACTTGCAGTCTTTCCCAGTCTGTAGTTGTAGCTAGGGAAATAAAGTTGAAATGATGGGACTCATGCTGTGAAATCCCAAATCCTCTGTGCTTCCAGCTTTCACAGAAAAGGAGCAATCCAAAGTGGAGATTCACATGAAAATCCAGTTTGGGGAAGGCCACGTTACCATCCAATGTCAGTTCTTTAAAACATTTACTGTACATGTTCTCCAAATAACACACTTCTCCATTCATTACTTGGCCTGAACAGTATACTGAAAACAACAGTTTCTTCCGAGTGTTTTGTCTTTTTGGGGAATAGTGATTGTCAGTCGTTTATAAATACCTGGCCTTTTATTAGAAATTGATTTGAAACAATTTCTCACTTGGATACACAATTAATATTCATATTATACATAAAACAGTATATAATAACAGGCTATATGTATAGGATAGAACTTTGTGTCTGTTCATTATTAATTCTGCCCATGTGACACATGAATAAGACTAGCATGTGTTAGCTTGCATGTAACTTACCTGGACAATCCTAGCCAAAAGTGAAAAGACAGGTTTTAGAACAGGGTGGGTGAAGAAGCCATGACTATTATGTACAGTGGAGTATAAACAGGCCTTCAGTCACAGACAACAACTTCATATTTTGGACATGTAAAAGTATTCAGTGCTCTTCTAGTGGAGCGTTTAATATAATTTGCTTTGTCATGATGCAGACTGGAAAAGAAAATTATTTTTCTTCCGTAACCTTTATAAGGGATTTTGTCACACAGTGACTTTTGATATACAGTACATCATGGGATTGCTGGCATTGCCTTGCATATTCTTGTAAAATGAGTATAAATTAAAAAGAATTCAAGCTTTGATGACATATCCTGTACTAAGAACTATTAGTGTATTTTTTGACAGTTTAATTAATCTAATTTCCTTTCATTTTTATGTGACCTACTGAATTATACAGATTGTTTTTTCCTCTTTTAAGGGGTCCAATGTTTTTGGTGTGTTAAAGGGAAATTAAATTTCAACCATGAGTTCTACTAGAAAGAAACTTGGAGTGCAGTGCATTCGAGGCCTTGCCTTTCTCTCTTATGGATGATTAGTGATGTAGATGTTGTGGTTGCTAAGCAACAGGCAAGGTGCATGAAATGAGAGCGATAAGCACTTTATGTAAATAATCTCTTATCGGAGTTTGGGTTGCCTTGAAATGTGATGCATAAATGAGCATCTTTACATTCCTTAATATATTTGACTTTTTATAGGTTATAGTGGGTATTTTTGTGATCTGAAGAAAAATGCTGTAATTATAAAATACATACAGTGCAGAAAAAGCCATAGGGATATGGATCTCATTTTAGTTTTTAGTTATGAAATCACAAAGGACAGGGCAAACTCTTGTTTTTTTAAACTGGTCTTATTATTAAGAATTATTAATTCTTATGAAGCACTGCCTGTGCTGGCATTTAGGACCACTAATACACCATAAAGACATATAGACAAAAAAAGACGTCTTCAATATTAATTACATCTTAAGCACTTCTAATAAAGTGACATTTGTCAATATTTAAGTAGGAATTAATTTCTTTTTATCATTTTTAAACGAACTCACTACATCAGTAACCTTCTTTTGATATACAGTACATCATGGGATTGCTGGGGTATCCCAGGGCACAGATTCACGTGTCACCTCTTAATTCTATTATTCATGTTGTGGTTAGATATGTTATTCAAATTGTGTTGGTCACACTTTATTTTGTACTGTGTGGTCCATAGATCCTATGTCAGAGGACAATATATGCCTTTTCACAAATTTACTAATTTCTTGTCTTTGTTAAAGCAGTATGATGATAAATCTGTTTGTAGGGTTGGATGTGGTTTTTGAATGAGTATTTTGACCATTTAAATGTTATTTTAACAGTTTAGTCTCCTTATAATACTGGTGCTGATTACAAAAAATGGAAATTATAATAAAATAAATATAAGTAGTATTAGTAAATACTGAAATATTAGTAAGTATAACCTTTATTGGTTTCTGCTAGTGATTTTATTCCAGTTATTTCTGGTATCTGTTTATAGCAGGATCAAACCCAAACACAATTTATTGCTAGAACCCAAAATGCTTTTTGTTATGTTTATTAAGATACTAATTTGAATGTCTTATGTACCTTTGTTTTTACGCTACAGCCTGATTGCAATGTAAATATTACAGTTTCATTAAAATATACTAGAAGAATATTGTGACCACAGTTTCCAGTCATTTTCCTGACTTTACTGTACAACATGTGCATTTCTAATATGGTCCATGCTACCTCTAGTGAACAACGCAGTTTGCCAAGTACATATTCTTTGCAGATAATATCTTAGCAGCAAATGCTAAATCGTACTGTTTATCTATTCTCACCTGTTAATGCATTATAAAATAGCTGCTAAATCACAGCCGTTCCAATATTTAATTAGTATCCAACCTGCTCAAACTCAAAGCTACTTAAGTACATTTGTATCCCTTCCAATGTTAATCATTTAATTATTTGTTAATAAGTAATGCATTGATTTCAAATGACATTTCATTTAACGATACTGGAATTGTTTGAACCAATTTGTTATTTGTAATGAATTAAATGACTAACTCTTGCCACTTATTCTTAAGGTTATTTGTAAACAGATAACATAATGTGGGGTTTTTGAAACTTTAGTTTAATGTTTGAAGTCCCTGCACTGTTGATTTGCTTGAATTAAAATGAGACAGGAAAAATGTTTGGAAAAGAAGTTGATACTAGAGTATGTTTTACTCTTAAATTCATGAAACGATGTACAAACTTAAATTAAAATGTCATCAAAAGACTATAAATGTTATGACAATTTATAATAAATTGTTATACTAATAATTTATTTTTAAAGTCTCAAAAACAAAACATTTCCCCTATCTCCCAGTTATATCTACTCCAAAAACAAGAACGTTCATTCACATTGGAGGATTCTCTTATTTCATGCAAAAAATATTATTCTGTTTAAGTGTACTGTATGTGCAGTGGGGCACCTTCAATCTAATGTCTACGTTCATAATGCACAAAGGCAGCGGTGCCCAGCCCTTGTCCTGGAGAGGAAAATTCAAGCAGGTCTTATAGGTCACCTGGAAATATTCAACTTGAAAAGACTTAGAATGTGAGTTTTGATCTATTAAGTAAATTAATTAGTTACTAGAGTTACATCAGGAATGGCCAGTATTTGCTTATAAGAGCTACATCATGTTGGTATTTTTATTTCAAATGATCTCACAGCTATTTAATTAAACAAATCACTAGCTTAATTGATCTAAATAAATTTGTTTAAAGTCTTTACAAATTGATGACCTCTAACTCCTGCTGCTACTGTATGTGGCTCTCCATAGACCATAACTGGCCATCCCTACACTAAGATCTCACTGCCCCTAACTAAAATCTGCACTTTTTTTCAACCCATCTCCTGATGGAATTGGGCCAATTTTTTTAAGTTGCCGTAAAGTTAGTAGAAAACTGGTGGTTCTTTATATAGGTGTGTGAGATCAAAAGATTGATTACTTCAGTTTAGGGTACCCAAAGTGCTTTAGCCTTTGAGTTTCCTTTTATTGACTGCCAGTTTTTTTTCTGCCAAGTTTGTTTTTGGTGTCTCTTAATCAAACAGTGCCATTTTGTGCAAAATATGCCATTAGGTTGGATTCTTCATTCTGTGTACATCAACTGAAGAATATTAATTTTATTTATAATGTTTTCAACAGGCAGTAATTTTTGTTGTTTTAAACTAAAAGGATTTTTGAAATATCACTGAAGGAAATAAAGTATCCACCTTCATCTATTATAAGGTTTAGTCCTGATTTAAGGGTGATTTAAACACCACCTTTTTTCCAGTTTGAGGTTGGACTAAAAAAAGGCAGGATTAGATGGTTTGATGAATTTTAAAGTTTGTTTGACTGTAAGTGTTTTGCAAACTATACCCATTTCCATTGGGCTTGTCACCATTTTTTTGTAATTTGCACAACACAAGGTTGAATAAACCCCACTGCAATGGAAACACGAGGAATCATTCAGTTTGTTGTTTGTGCGGGTTATTACAGGCTGCAAAAAATGACATGCCTTTATGGTTTTGCGATTTATTTCAGTTCTTCCGTACAGGGACTATTTAGCTACATATTGCATAATTAAAAGTTTTAGTAAAAAAAAAAAGCTATTAGTGCTGTTTCTTCAAATGCAATTAAAATCATGTTTACCATAATGACTATGTCCTCTGCATCCAAGTCATAGCTTCAGTTGTGGCTGGTGTGCTGTGTGTTTTTAATCCTTCTGATTTATTGTTAACATTTTCTTGAACTTGCCTCATGTAGAGAAAGCTGAAGCGTGTTCTTGAACCGACATCTAAGCGCTAATGTTCCATCAGATGAGGTGGGGTAGGGGGTCACTAGGATGTCACAAAGTTTGAGGAGATACAAGTTACATTTCCCTTTAGGGTTGTTTTTTTAATCCAAGTTTTTTATCTAGAACTCATCTATTACTTATTAACAGGATATGTAGCTCTTGCAGGACAGTACTTGAGGGAAAATTTACCATTAATATTTGTTATATGGGATTTGTACCAGATCACCAGTATTCCTTGTTGACCTATTTCACAATTTATTAAGGAACTAAATTGAGGCAAAGATGATGAAGCACAGTAATTAACATTTAAGATAGGAAACTCTTGGAGTCCTTTGATCTTGGATGCCTAATGTTATCCTTATGTCTTATATTTCTTTCTTAAATTTCACACCGTATTGTACGGAAAATAAAATCTAGTGCCATACTTCTACCTTCATTACTTACCTTCAGCTGGAAACTTAAATTGCAAATAAATGTGCATTAAACAGCATGTGGAGAAACTTTACAATTTTACAGTGTTGTTGTTCTTTGGTGGAATGGTGGTGCAGTGATAAGCAGTACAGGAGTTCAATTCTCAACCTGGGGTGCTATCTGTGAGGAGTTAATCTCCCTGCTGTTTGCGTGTATGTCCGATGGGAGCTCCACTTTCCTTCCACAGTCCAAAATCAAGTAGATTAATTTTATTCTGGCCCTGTTGTGAGTCTGTTTGCCCATTTATGTTTGTGTGTATATTTGGAAAAAGTGGTTAGAAATAGATGAATGAATGGATGTTGTGAGCCTTACACCCAAAGGAGGCTCCACAGTCGAAACGTGTGTTTTCTTTCTTCTCTTTTCAGCATGGAATAAACCTATTATAACTTAATTAATCCCGGCATCTCATCTGGCCATTGTTTGAAAAATGCTACTGTATCGGCTTCAACAACAAGGCTGGACTGTTAAATCAATACCCCACAGTTGTTTGTGTGAAGGAGTGCCTTCCATTCTCAGGTTTATATGCACATACTGTAGTGTCCACTTGTTCTCTGGTTTGCTTTTCATTTTTTATTCTGAAGAAGTCCACTGGCTAGATTTAGTTTGGATTTTGAACACTTGAGTCAGGTTTCTTCATAGTCTTCTTTGTGCAAGACTAAAACAAATGATTCTTTTAGCTTGTTAGTGTATGACTTTCTTTTTAGCCTAGTAATATATTTTGTTGCTGATTCCAGAGGAGAAATATCTGTTTTGCAACATTTTAAATAAAGTCTTATTAGTGCATTGTATATTTTAACATCCCTTGATTTAGGATTTATAATTAAAAGTGTAACATTTATCATCGTTCAGCTTTTTGCTTCTCTTCATTGTTTCGAAGATGTAAAGGTCTTGTATTCTTCTTCTGTTATATTGTGTTAACTATTCTACAGGGTTCACAAAAAGAACTCATAAATACACTTCTTTAATGATGATGCTGATTTTGAAGCAGGAAAAGGCAGATGTCTGTGGCCACTGCTGTAGGTGTTGGAAACACTCAAAAGCCAAAGAAGTATCAAAACACCTTTAGTGTTGATATTTTAAAAGACCTCATTTCTTGGTCTTATATTGAGTGCACTTCTGATTTCTTTAAATTTGAATGTGAACTTGAATTAGTAGGTGAAAAGCAGAACGAATTGTACGTCTGGAGGATGTAGTCAGTTTTGCATATATAACTTGGTAGACCCCATTGAATAAGAGAAACGACATACTTCTGTTTTAGGGTGTATCTGTTATTAAATGGTACATTCTTTATCTTTTATTCAGTTTTTATATAGCATAATTTATTGTTTATTTATTATTCAAATTAGTAATTCAGTTGTTCAGATCTTTCTTGCACAGTACGACATTTTAAGAAGCTTTGTTTCAAGTTGTTAAACATGGCAGAATATATGGCTTAGCAGCATTGATACTGTATGTAGATAGGAGAGTGAGGAACTGAAGGAATTTAATTGCTTTCTGACCAAAGACACACAAAATAGTTTTTGTTTGTTTTCTATAACAGGTTCCAAATCTTATTCCTGTTCTCATGTTCAAGTTGGGGAAGCTTTCTGACCCAGTCTTATCCTGTGCTGTGCTGTACGCACTGCCCAGTCTGGGGACTCACAAAGTAAGTTTATTATCCTATGTTATTTATTAATTAATTGACTTATTTGTTCTCTTTAGAAATAAAAAGGGTTACATTTCCATAAGGAATAGAATTGAAGTAATGGGACTAACCAGTCCATCACATATAAATAAATTTGAGCAGAATAATGTAATATGATGAGACAATTTCTCTGCAGTGACCATAAAAAGACTACAGGTTGAGAATCCCTTATCCGAAATTCCTGGGACCGAAAGTGTTGCGGATTTTGGATTTTTTCGGATTTCAGAATCTTTTTTGATTTGCATCTATAAAATGGGATAGCTTGGGGATGGGACCCAAGTGTAAACACGATATCGATTTACATTTCATAATATAGCTTATACATATATCCTGAATGTAGTTTTATATACATTTTTAATATTTGTTTTTACATAATACCATCAGAAAGGTATGATATCAGTCTCCACCTACGATGTCATGTTTTGATGAAAAGGTTACAGTACACATACGCCATTTGTATTTTATTTTTTAATATACAGGTATTAAGTTTTATGTAAGGTATAAAAACAAAGCATTTAATATGATTACAGGTAAATAAAATGAAATATGAAAAAAGCCAGCATTTTATTTTTAACGTTATGTACAAGTAATGACACTAGTCAAGTTACACTCATACATAGAGGTGAAATTCAGATCTCACGTAAAAATAGCGTTTTGAGCTTACTATACAAAAACAAAACATGATGATCACTGCTTACAAACTTGAAGATAAATGCAGCCCAGACATTACAACTACATCAGGTCTGAGAAACTTGAGGGAGAGGGTACGTTATCGATGACATCACTGTGAGCTGGAAAGTTTCGGATCTTTGAGGTTTACGGATTTTGGAATTTCGGATAAAGGATTTTCAACCTGTATTAATGTACTGTCCATGAACCAAAACTATACAAATGAAGCTTGACATTATTTTGTAATAGTAATGAATACAATTAACATTATAAAACCTCAGTCATTTGTAAGTAATATCGCTCACATTTAATTTCAAAATACCTGTCCCCTTGTCCACACCATGCCTTGACAAGTTCAAGCAAAGCAACCATAGTTTCATCACCAGGTACTGTATGTCCAGTACTTGCTCTTTCCTTGACCTGATCAGAGAATGCATCTGAGCTTCAGGAATGGCAGTTGATAGTTCTTTGACCTCTAACTCAAGCTCAGTGGGGGTTTGTGGTTTGAAACACATAAGTCTGGCGACCACAGATGGGATTTAAATTCTCATTCATTAAAAACAAGGACAGTAACACATTGAATTTGACAAGTGCTGGTTATCCCATTGAAGGGAAGCTCAAATGTGTCTGGGAGCAAATTGTGATCAAGTGATATTTTGATTAACATGTATTCCTACTTCAGTCGGGCTTCTCAGAAGAGGCAATGTCTCTGATCCCACAAAGCGCATGCATGAAGTTTACAGAGCTCTTTGGAACTAATTGTGAAAATGATTGTTTCTATTGAAATGGTCCTGGGCACACAATGAATCTATCATCCTTCAAGCTGTGTTGTCCCAAGTTTGGCCACAACCAGTATCTTTTGTAATCATAAACAGTTGTTCTACATTCAGTGAAAATTGTGGCAAAGTGCAAAATAGCTGGTCTCTCAGCTTCTGACCACCATGGCACTGCAGTGACGGTTTAAATTTTCATTTCACACTTAACACATTTTTAAGCAAATAGCAACAATAATTCTCAAAACTGTAAAAGCCCTGTTCATCACCTACACATTGTTAATCAAAATGTCAGATTGGTTCAAATTATCATCTCTGAAAATGTTTTATCCCTGTTGTTCACGAGCTTCCTAACCAATTAATTTATGACTAAACAAGTAATTCAGCAGTATTCTACAAAACCCATACTCCTAGCTTTTTTTGTTGCACTTATTACCAACACTAATTCAAACTTCTAGATACCACAGTATTTGTATTTCAGTGACTATAAATGAACCTCTGATGTTTATTTGCTTCACTGATTAGGGATGAACATATGATTTTTAAATAACTGGTTATTTTAGATCATCACATATCAACAACATTCACTTACAGTGCTCCAATTTAATGAATGAAATACAGCACATTGGAGTTTATGATGAAATTGATTATTATAGAAATTATAATCTTACAACAGATTAGTAAAAAAATGGAGGAATTAACCCTTGTTGTAGTTTTTGCATTTAATCTTAGTTTTATCTTATTGAATGACCAAAGCCTGTTTTCTTGAAGTATTTTTTTTTATTTTATCCAGCTGGCATGCTTCACTTTTGAATTTTCACATACTACTATTCAAATTCATGTCAGGCATGGACTACAAGTTACTATAGTACTTCACAAGATCTCAGTCATATAATTTGTGATTAGGTCCTTGAACTCTAATGTCTAGTTTTGCTTCTCAGTTTTGTGTTCCTCAGTTGCTACAAGCTTTACAGGTGCTGGGAAGTGCATCAAAACTAAGACCTGTGGTGTTGAGGCTTATGACATCATTGTGGATAAAACAGGTGAGAATATCTTTACCTGACAAATGTGCCATTTTTGACAACAAGGTGTGTAATTGCCAATTATCTCCAAGCCCAAATTTACTTTTCTGAGCTGTACAAATAAGATATAAAGTAATGAGACTTCTGTTTTCAGCATGGAGTTAACCTGTACTTGTCACTCTTATGTAAGAAACAATAGTCATATCATGTCATTTACCAAACCGCTTTATACCACACGGTGTCACGGGAAGCTGGAGCTTACCTGGCAAGCAACAAGCACAAGGCAGGGTACACCCAGTCCATCACAGGGCAAGTGCAAGCCAATCATACATGGGGACAATTTGAAGGCCAAGGTATAGGCTAAGGAGGGAAATTTGGCCTGGACACTGGGATAACTGCCGACTCTTATCGAAAAATGCCAGAGGATCTTTAATGACCACTGAGAGTCAGGACTTCGGCGTAACGTCTCAACCGAAAGACGGCACCCACTACAGTAGAGTGTCCCTGCCACTATACTGGGGCATTAGGACCCACACAGACTGCAGGGTTGGCACGCCTATCCAGGTACTGACCAGGCTCAACCCTGCTTAGCTTCAGTGGTTCAGTGGGTAAAGAAACAATAGTCATAATCAAAAAATGTTTATAGTGGTAGTATAACTAAGTTGTCTTAATGCAATTTTTGATTTACGATGCCTTCTGTAAATTATATAGAACGTATTTTTTAAACTTTATTTTACAAAATGGCATTGGACAAAAAAAGACACAAAAACTGTATAGTTCCTTCTGTACTAGGAGTCAGAATAAGCAGCCTAAGCTTGTGTATGCTGCAGATTTGCACAGGTCTGACAGTTTTGCCTCTTTCAGGACCGGGTGTATCCAGAGCTGCAGAAGCTTATGGCGATGTTGGACAAGTCTTCTGTTGTGTTTGGGAAAGAAGAGCAGTGGGAGCAGATTTTAGCTAAAGCTGCGTGTATCCGAGACATTTGCAGGGAAAGGTAATGACTACACAATGCTTCATCACAACTGCTTCCACTTGAGCAGAAAATACCACAACACATCTACAAGACATTTTCTTTAATTTGCAGAAATGTCCCAGTGTACCAGAGTGAATTATTATTTCAGTATACAGTAGTTTTACTTCTTACAATAACAGCAGGTGATGTCTTGTCTCTATGTCCCACAACATTAATTAATTGTTAATTATATGCTATTTATATTTGTTAATTGAGTTATAAAACTGAGTTGCATAATTGGAAAAACATAATTGCCTTTTTGGTTTTCATGATTTTATTTCTTGACGTTTACTGGTTACATCATTTTTATTTCTAATGACAAATTACTTTGCAATGTCAGATGTGTGCTCAAGATGGGAAACTATTTGTAAATAATGATAATCTGGTATTGCTTGCTCCCTAGGCCTTACCAACATGGTGGTGACATGCTGGCAGCCATCACTGAAACTCTGTCCCAGTGTACAAAGAACGACCAGGCCACACCTGCAGCTTTTGTTCTGCAAGGACTACTGGAGCTCTGTCGAGCTGAGGTAATAAATGGTGCTCCTCCTGCTCACAAGCAGGACTGTTTGTTTTATCCCAGTGATAAGTACTTTTATACTGGACCAACTTGTCACTTGTAACCATCTTCTGTACTTAAGGAAGCAACACCTTACTCTGCCCTATAGTTCTGTGGAGCAACAATAACATTTCTGTGCCCTTGTTAACATTTCTAGATCATGGTTTTGATCAAAATTCTATAGCCTTTTAAATTACTACTGGTGTGAGAAGCACTAAAAAGTGGAGGATTTTTATGCCACTTAGAACATAAGCAAAATAATTAAAAAAATAGATAAGAGGAGCATCACGGGTGTTATTTGTGTATAGAAGTGTTAGGTTCGCAAAAAATTGAAATTTTGTGAATTTAATTGAAAAATATAGAGAAGTTAAAAAGAGAAATAGCTTTGATTGTTTAAACATTATTTGTCTAATTTAGACATTGAAATATTTTTTAAACATTTGGACTGTCTTTAATTATCTAGATCAGGTCCACTATCTAAAGAAAGCTTCACAACAAAAACATCATTTTATCTTCTTGCTTTTCAGCACCTCCCCACACAAATGTATACCACTATGTTTTTCAGCTGACTTTATTTTTGGCTTGTAGGTTGTTGACATTCGCTCAACCTGGAATGCCTTGTCACCAAAGCTGAACTGTGACTCCCGCCCAATTGTTGTCAAGGCCCTGACCGAACTCTTTGCTCTGGTGCCGGTTTTGTCAGTGAAGACTGAGGAATATGAGGTAAAGTACAGTAATGCAGGTCCTTTAAAATTTAAATGGTAAAAGAGTAAATAGCTATTATGGGTAAAATTCTAAGTTGTTTGGGACAAGGTTCACACTAAAAAAATATAAAAAATAAACACAATATAAAAATAGATTGCTCTCTTTTTAGTATTAAAACTCAAATACAGTAAAAGTTTTATGTTTTACAAGGTTACAGACCATAATATAAGACATTCTTTGATATACTGACTATTGACGCTACTCCATGTGTGTGTAAAAATGTGGTCAGTTTAATTTCAGGTTAAATTTTATTTTTGATCTAAACATTGATCACATAGGCAATGACATGTTCTGCTCTGCTTTATTTTGTTTATTCCTTGAGCATGCTAAAAACTAATATTTATAACCAGTAGACTTTGGGATACAAAGTACTCATAGATAAAACATAAGAAACGTTAGAAATGAGAGAGTCAATTTTATTTGGTTGCCAGTAGCTAAGTGAAGATCAGCAGTACAGAAGATCCCATCCAGCCTTTTCTTAATGATGCCAGGGTATTTGCGCAGGGTATTGGCTTTGACAGGATGCCTGGAGAGCATGTTCCAGACTCCCACAACCATTTGTGTAAAAAAGTGTCCTTTGATTCAGGAAAACATTTCATCTTGTGTCTTCTCATTTTTATATCTCGGTTGGTTTTGAAGAAGTTCAAAGGCTTGACTGTCAGTGCTTTTGGGGGTTATGAATACTTGATTTGGGTCTTTTTAGCTCAGGACTAAAAGGATTGATTTATTTTAGGCTGTCAAAGTAGAGCATTCCTTTAAGCCCAAGAATGTTCAGTATCTGGCCACTCATTCCTTGACTGATTGCAGAGTACAAACATCTTTTTTGTAACAGTAACCCCAAGTATATACAATATTCTGAATTAGGTCTTATTACTGCATGGTATACAGTAATTCTAACGTAACATTTCTTTGTTTTCTGCAGTTTTAACTATATATTATATCTTTCTTGCTTCTCCACATTGTCTAGAAGATGAACATGGTGCCTATATACTATACTGTCCGTCTAAGTCTTTTTCACACGTATTACATTTTGTAAGTGCTTTGGAAACAACTTAGTCCTGTACAAAAGTACATTTGTTATAAACATAATAAAAGTAAAGATAAAGAGAAAAAGAAGCAAATTAATTCAGTTACCCAAAAACTAACATTTAATTCAATATCAAATGGATTGTGAAATAGTAATAAATTGTTCTTTAATTAAGTAGATTTCAATACTTTACTTACTGCATCTGTAAGGGATTTGGACAGTGAGTTCTACAGTTGTGGATCTGTACAAGATAAGACTGTGACTGACTGAGTGAAGCCTGGTCTTCAGTAGAGTTAGGAGGTCTGAATCAGCAGGTCTCATTAAGATGTTGGTATGCTCATGCATTAAGGCCTTAAAAAAACAGGAGCTGGACCATTCAGTACTTTATACATGGTCAGGCGAAACCTTTAGTCCATTCCACATTTCACAGGAAGCCAGTGTATGAGATGAGAGATATTTGCTGAGGATGATTAGATTTGATTAGCACACAAGTTACAGAATTCCAGACACATTGAAGCCTATTTAGTAACTTAAAGGATTCTAAATTAAGGCATTCTAGTAAAGAAACAAGTAATAGGTTTATTCCATGCTGAGAAAAAGAAGAAAGAAAACACAACGTTTCGGCCTTGGAGCCTTCTTCAGGTGTGAGGGAACCTTTTTTCAGCATGGAATAAACCTATTACTTGTTCATTTGCAGCCTACGCATGCTGACATGTCTACCCACCTGTTCTAGTAAATAAGTCTCATTGAAATAAAGGTATGTACCAGACTTTCATCCATTAGATGGAGCAAGTGATTTACTGTAATAGAACCCTGTGTAAATCCCTG